ATTCCTCCTAGTTGATCTTTATATTTAACCTTCCCTAAAATATCTCTCATTATTGGCCTATCCACTAGTGTTCTTCCTCTCCATCTAACTAAAACACCACTAATAAAACCCTTATGCCCTCTTAGCAATGCATACTATCAAATGATTTTTCTACTCTCATCAATTAGTCCTTAGTTGCTCAAGGCTCAATAATACCCTGAAAATGAGGTGGCTTCAATCCCATAAATAGCTACATATGCTTATATATATTATCCCCCTAATTACTCCATCCATCTTACCTTGACCTCACTCATTAGTTGGGCCACCAACCCAGTAAACTACATCATCAAAGTAGAAGTCATAGCCCCCATGATGCTCTGAATTATTGCAATTTGACTGGAATTCTATCCATCAGCTGCTTCGTGCTCTTTGACTTTATAATACAACAACACGTTAATCTAGATAAAATAAGGTAATTCAATTATTCAACACAACTAATATAAAATAATATATATTGGACTCCAAACTTCCCTCCCATACCAATACAATTCATTTCCTAAGGCTCTAGTTACAATTCCCCAATCCTTCTAAATCGTCACTCCGATATCACTTGTAATGCCTTAGGATCTAATTGAAGAATTAAATTTTATTAAACATATAATTAATTATCTCATCTTCAAATAATAATAACCATAGCCACTAACTCTCCCAAAATAAAATAAAAAAAGTATAGTCAACTTTTATTTCACTAAAACATAATTATAATAATCTAGATCATAAAAATCTATACATTAAATAATTAACTGTTGGATTACAAAATCATACCTTAGGAATTTGAATATCAAAATTCTGCCTCTACACTTGATCTACTCAGCAGAACCTTTAACTTTTTTCCTGAAATATTAAAAGAACAAAAATAAGCTCATGCATTCTAGTTATGGCATTTTTTATGTTAATGTTTCTTTAATAAAGTTAAGAAATATTCCAAGTTATATTTTAGAGAACTTTGAATTTCTCTATGAGTTCTATGGAAAATGAAAGTGAAAGTCAAATACAATTGCATTTTTGAAAATGAGTATTGTGTAAGAAATTTGAAAACTCATGTGAAAGTGATTATGTGATTAAAAAAGTAAGTGCTGGCCCCGAAATCAAGTATAGATATTAGAATTTTGTAAATTCTTTTTTTTACTTAGGCTTTATGTTTTCCAAAAGCTTTTATGTTTTTATTTGATTAATTACTTTTAAATTAATTGCTATATATATATATATACGTTTATCTGATTAAATTATTTGATTTTGAGGAGGTCTAGGGTAGATGGAAGAAGTTCTGTTATGGTGCTAAATGCACATTTTGGGGGCAAAGGGTATATTTTGGTGCTATATGCAGACTTTGTTCTATTGTTGAACAATGAGAGTCATAAGGGTTAGAATTATCTGAATTATGTATGTTGCGAGGTATAAGGTAAAGATTTTTTGAATTCTATTTCTGGGGGGCATAAGAGTCAGTCAGAATTCTCTGAATTCTATATGACATAAAATGTTTGTTTATTTATTTTTCTAGCACTATTATTTGAATTATTAATAAATGTGACTACTATTATGCATAGCACAATTATTTACTATATTGCTTTTAATACTCAGTTAAATGCTTATTAAAAATAAAATACTAATTTAATTGAAAATTTAGACGGATAAATGTATCATGTTAAGCTGTATTAGTTCATTGGTTTTTTTGCCTTCTATTTTCAGGGTTGGGGAAATAGAAAGAGCCAGATGAGTAACAAGGTCAGGATTATATCTGAGTGTGTATGGGTATTTCTTTTTCTTTCTTGAATTTTGTACAGTCATAACTAATTATTTAAGCTTACTTATTACTTTGCAATGCAATTTTTTAATCCACAAATTTTGTGAACTAAAATTTTTTGTACTAAAAAATTATTTTAGAAAATAATAAAAAAGCTGTCTCAAACGAAGTCATAACTGCTGTATTTTGTATTTCGGTCTATAGCCAAATACTTTAGTGTAATTATTATATATTTATTTTGATGATGATATAAAATGAAAATTTTCTGAATGAGTTTATTCCAGTACACTGATGTTATTAGTAGCTTCGTGATCATTATTTATTTAAAAGTTAAAATTGGATAAAATTATTTTTTTTATTTTTTAAAGGCCGTTGAAAACCAACATGATAGAACATTTTCTATTTATAAGTCTTATATATCGAGTTGAGATGTGATAATATATTCTCAAATAATTTTACTTTTTTTTATCTTTTTTGTACTATTGTTCGCAGCTAAGATAATTAAAATCTCTTTCGAAGGACCAAATATTATGGCATATTTTACTTGGAGAAGATGGAAATTTTATATCTTGACCCGACATTTCACGTGATATTACATAGATCTGAACTTTAGAACTTATAATTATACCAAAATATTTGATAAGGTTTTTTATAAAAATATATTTCAATAATGTGGCATCAAGCGAAGTACAAAATTATCTCATAAAAAATGCTTTGTAAACAATAATTTTGCCTGCCATCCAATGCCACATGATTCACACCACATTTCTGTACAACATTTTTTTTTTTAGTAAATTAATATTATTCTGATCAATATATATATATATATATATACATATATATATATCCAAATTATATGCTCAAAATAATAAATTTTGACAAATAATATTTTAAATGTTTTTTTTACAGTTTTTTAGTAAAAAAATTAAAATTTTTTATCAAAAAATTACTTCAAAAAACAGTAAAAAAATTGTTACAAACAAAATCTTAATCACAAATCCTTTAATCATTACTGTAAGTATTTTCTTAAGTTTCAAAAAAAAAAAATCCAAAAATCTTATATAAATGTATTTTATAATTTTTTTTGCAGATTAAAGCAAAGTACTTATTTGCTTATGCCAGACTTTGCACTTAGAGAGCTGATATGAGAAGTCAAAAAAAAAATTTTTCTTGACTTTTTTTTGAATAATTTTGAACAAATTGAATTGGAAACTCTCAGTAAATTGATTAAAAAGGGTTGCATCTGAGAATCTCTTCTCCTTTATTATTATTTTTTTTCCCAAAGCCAATGAAGAAAACCTTCCTCATCCATGAAATATCATTACTCTGATGTAACATAAAAAATAGCTAATTAGCCAAAACTCTCAACTTTCTGTAGGTAAAAGACATTTTGAGGAAGAAAATAAAGCAGAAGTGCATCAAAATTTTCTTTTTCTTCATCTGCTGTAAATGTTTTTCACCTGAAAATGCCTGCATTCAACTTATGTTAAGTGTGGGGAAGTGGACTTCCGTCGCAGACGGGAGCAAATCCCTCTATCCCCATCCTATCCCCATCTCTTCCCTACAACCAGTCCATACGCTACCCTACAGACACAAGCAGCTCAAAAAACTTCTGTGCTCTTCTGAATTCTTAACAGAGGATGAAATGAAGAAGAGTAAGAGAGAAAGAGAGAGAGAGAGAGGTAAAAAAATAAAAACAAAGAGCAGAGCAGAAGATACAGACAGTCACAGCTTTTTCTCCCTTTTCCAATAACACTACACTTGTGGCCTCTCTCCTCTGTAAACCCACATGCTCGACTTCAATGCGCACAAGGCTTCTCACCAACCACAAAGTCCCTCTTCTTCACTTCATGGCCTTCAAGTTGATAAAAGACTCATTTTTTTACTGACCCCATTAAAATCTGTCCGAGATCTCTCCAGTAGATTTTGCTGACATCATTCCGTCCTCTTCTTCCTCCCTCTATGGCGTTTCCCTGCAATGTATTAAAAAGCAGCTATCTTTCTCTCTCCCCCTGCTCTCTTTGTCTTTCTACAACGAAGCAATTACTTTTTTTGTGGAGGAAAAGCAGATTACCTGAGAACAGCTGCCAAGAACAGGAACTTGCACAGAGATTCCAGATATTTTGGCCGTGATGATCATTGCTGAGAGAATGAGAGGTGGGAAGGAGATGAAGGGAAGGAATGGGCCCCCCTGCACGAAGGCTAATCAACCTTCTCTGCTCTGTTTTTCACTCCCTACTATTGTTTTAACCCTTCTTTTGAACTTAATTCAAAGTTTGCTCCGACAATGGCTTCTTACTCTTTTATTACCAGCTTTCTCTCTTCTTTTGTTTTTCAATCCTTTCTATATTTTTTTTAAATAATTTCGATTGCATGCACTTGATTGATAGGTGATGTACATCCTCTGTTAAAGTTGCTCTGACCCATTCCTTTAAATGCCATTCCTTTTTCCCTGTTCCGGTTCTGCTCTGCTTTTCTTTTTCCCGGGTTTTTGTCCCAAAAATGGAAATAAATCTTCTGATAGCTTTTTGGCGTGGATTTAGTTGATTGTGTGCCTTTGTTTATCCCAGAATTCAAAGGCACCCTTACTTTATGGTTCTGCTCTGTATCTTTGCGGAAAAGAAAATTTGAAATTTTGTTCAGAGGAATGATTGGTGTGCCGTTGAGCTTTTTTAACACAGTGTTCGTGATCAATCATGCCGTTGTGATAATCCATGATTCCATTCATGAAGCTCTGAAATGAATAACAAGGTAAGAAAACAATTCTCTTGTATGATCTTTGTGTTTAGTGCTGCGATTCAGTTTTCATCTTTCACTTTTCTGTTCATCAATCATGTAGAGATAAGAACCATTAAAAAAAACTTTCTTTTTTTTTTCCCCCTCTCTTTAAACTATATGCTTTTGTACTATAGCAGGCTTTGTGCAGTGAGGAAAGAAGACAACCCCACTACCCTGATGAGGCACAGTGAGAATCCCACTTATGCATACTATAGCTTTTGGCCTTTTACTCTTACGGAAGTGAGGATGCATTATTCTTCTGACTTATGGGGCCCTGAGATTTGTTTTTAGTGCTGGATGAAAAACCAATTCCCTGATCACTTGGAGAAAAAGAACATACTTTGCTATGAAGTAGATGCTATATAGTGTCAAAGTGATGGATAACTGATGAACTTTCTACTCTATTGTTCTCTTCTTTGTTTCTGGCTTGATGGGAAAACTTATATCTTGTAGGCCTTCAATGAGGAAAAAGAATAAGTTTCCTATTTTAGCAAATTCTGTGGCAAATAGGGAGGTATGTGTCTCTAATCTTTGTTTTGTTTTATATTTGTTCATTGATATGTTCTTGCTTTAGTGTTTGAGGAAGAATTTGGCTTCTAACAATCAGTTTGTTTACAGTTCAGGAATCATTTGAAATGTCTATCAGGTTTGTACTTAATGGCTTTGCTTGCAATGTAGATTGTGCAGGAATGGGCTGAAGTTACTGTATATTTCTTTAAAAATGTATTTTTAATGCTTACATTGCCCTCTATTTTCTTCCCCTCTTCAATTGAAGAATCCCCAAGAAGCATTTGGGTTGAATTAGGAAGATGTTAATTTATTTTGTTTAAATCATGGCGTCTATGTCATGTTTTTCTGTTCATGCAAGTGGACGTTGGTTTATGTGCTTTATAATTAACAGACAAGTCTCTCTCTCTCTCTCTCTCTCTCTGCTTGTTTATTGATAAATTGAATTGAATGGGCTCCATTCTCACCTGCAAACTAAATATAATGAATTTTACAAATTTTACTGGTTTATGCGGATGCTTTGTTCTTCTTCTTCCAGTAGAGCTCTGCTCTCAACCCTAAAAAGTTATTGCCTCTGTGATTTAAGAATCACCAAAATGTTATCTTTTTTCATGTGAGTGTCTTCCACGGTTTGATAAGTCTCTAATTTGTGCGAACTGGTGGCAATTTTTTTTTAGTGAAAACTTCTAGCACCATTATGTTTGAATGCTAGTTTTTATTTAATTTTTATGTTGAACATCTTGCTGTTTGAGTTCTAAAACCTTTCTCATGTTGCATTGACCTGTTTTTCTATTACATCCTGTTACTCAGAATGTTTGTGGTTAGTTTTTTGATAATGTGGAACCAAATTTTGTCATTGACAAAACATTTACAATAAATGGTTGAATCTCCTCTTTGAATATAAATCTTTGATTAATTCATTTTTGTGGGCTATGATGATATTTTGGGGATTTAATTTTAATGTAAAGAGTATGAAGGATTTTTTGTTGACTTTGAGAGATCTTTTATTTTTAAAGATCACATAACATTTGTAGGATCTTATAAAAACTTTTTTTTTGTTTCCAACTCATTACTTTTATTGCCACTATGAAAAGATTTGACATCCCACATGCCACAAGCAAATAGAGAGAAAAGGGAGAGAGAGGGGGGAGAGGAGTTGCCAATTGACAGAGCAAACGGAGGATGTTTTTTTTAGGTGATTGTAGGAGGGAGATATTTTGGTTCTTCAAGAAAAATAAGGTGTTGCTTGTCTGAATTCTATCAAAAGTAGAAGCTGTTGGCCATAGTAGAAAGAAGCTATAACAATAGAGAAGGAAGTGAGCAATAGTAGCAACACCTTCCTATGTTTAGCCTTCATATTTGTTTGTTGGTGGAATTTTGAAAACATATTTAAAAATATTAGTTTTCTTTGGGACTTAAAATTGAATTCTAAAATCGAATTGTCTCGTTAGAAAAAGTAATGTCGCTTTCAGACTAGGATCATTACACTATCTCACCTTCATAAATGATAGTAATGAAAAGTTATGAGTTCCTTTTATATAAAAAATATTTGACTTGCTCCCAAATTTTTATGATGTGAAAAATCTTAGGGGAGAATGAAAATAAATATGAAATCAAGTGCTTGCAATCAGAAACAATAGGGTCTATGAAAATAGAATTCAATAACTATTGTGCAACTGACTAGATTTGTATGGAGAGAATGATTGCAAGAACTAAAAAAATAATTAATGGGATGAATAGAACTCTCAATGAATGTGCAAGGAGCATGAGACTACATGCAAGTCTTCCCAATTCATTCTAAGTAGATGATGTAGTAACATAATTGTATATTTGATCAACCGAGGATTGTCCCTTGCACTCAACTTTCTGCTTTAGGAAAAAACCAGATAGGCAAGGATGCATATTTATCATGTTTGAAAGAGTTTTGCTGCCAGTCATATGTTTATGTTGGTCAAATCATTAGAGATTAATTTGACCAAAAATCTAAGAAGTGTTGCTTCATTTAATATGGTTAAGATGAGTTTAGCTATAGTTTTTTGGATAGTGATGGTGTGAAAATACCATTTTCAATGAATTTGTATTATACAAAAATAAGTCAAATACTACTATAAAAGACACTCCATTCTAGAGCATTTTGTACTAGAAGAGGTGTATATCCCAAAATAAAGACAAAATGTTATAAGAAACTCATGAGTAGCATGAGCTCTCAGAACACTTGTGGCCAAGTTAGAAGCTCATAAGGAACTCCCAGGCCAATTAACTATTATTCTACTTATTCACAAGCTTAAGTGCTATAACAAAGCCATTCATGAAAAGAATTTTGTTAAGTAGGAGTTTTATTGAAGGAAGAGATGTATTTTTATGAAAAAAGAACTTTTGAATATTGACTAAGGTGCCTAAAGATAAAACAATGTTACTGTGAGGTAGTTTTAGGATAGGTTGATCCTGCAAGTTATTTCAACAATATAAATGCTTATATATATGCATTGTGGTATTGTAGGCTGATGCATAATTTGGGGAAAATTGAATAAAAGCTTTAGGTTAGTTTTCCTCTTCTAAAATCTGTCATCCCTTCCCTCTCTCCCTCTTTCTTGCAAAAAGCTCATTAAGCTCTCAATAACTCCTCCCAATTACCTAACAAATGGTATCAAAGCCTCGTTGAGGCGATCGAGGAAGGAGGAAAGTGTTCTTGAGGTGAATCAAGAAAGGGTTTGGCCGTGGCAAGCATGTGGTACAGGCGATTCGTGTTTGCGGAGGCGGACCTGCTGCTTCTGGTTTCTAGGATGTGGCCAGAGCAGTGCAGGCTTGTGACATTCGCACGGAAGCAGTGCGGGCGGGCTAGAGTAGGCAGGTCTAACGCACGATGTGCACGGTGCATGGTGCAGGCAGGTAGGCCTGGAGTAGATGTTCGTAAGAACACGTGCAAACATCAAAGGCGCGAGCGGGCCATAACAAGGAAAGGTCGCGGGGGGTGCGGTTCAAGCGGGTTGTACGAGGTTCATGTGGTGTGTGGTGCAGGCGGATGTGTGAGGGGCAGACGTGGGCGTAAGGCACAAGCATGCACTGGTCTGAGGAAGGCTGCCACAAGCGCGGCCAGGTGTCGTATAGGTCAAATTGGCGGACTCATGCGGGTCGTGCATGAGCGCAGGTTTGTTGCATATGCATGTGAGCACAGGGGTCCGGAACATAGGCAGAGTTAGGTTGTCCGAATAGCTAGATGCACAATTTCGCAAGGGATCAGAGATTGGAGTCTGAGCTATAGATTCGGAGGTGATGCTTGGGCACAGGAGTGTGTTGAAGCATCAAAATCGAGTGCAAGACCGGTTGGAAGCAAGATCTTTCATTTATTGATTAAAGATTAGTCAAGATCTTTGAGGTGGAGTTTTCGGGTTAGATTGCGGGTTGATCGGCGAAAAGGGTCATTTGGTTGTTGTGTGTTGGAGCAGTGGTTCAAAACAAGCAAGATCAAGAACCTTGGGGCAATAGGTTGGTCGTGGACTTGGAATCGGATGTGTAGTGGGAGGTCGCAAGTTGGAGCACGCACGAGTGTCTGAGGAAGACTGACGAATCGCTGCTGGATCATGAGCTGGAGTTATTGATTGGAACATACGGTAGAGGCCTTTCACGAGCGAGATTGGGCCCTGTTCGGTGCGATTGCTCGTGGAGTTAGTGCAGGAAACCAATTAGATTGCAATAGGTGCATAGGTGGTTCTTTGATTGTAAAACATGGACCAAGATGGAGATTATGATGTGTTGGTCCAATTTTGGATAGATTGATCCTGCAAGTTACCACAACAATGTAAATGTCTATATATAGGCATTGTAGGCTGATGTATAATTTGGAAAAAATTGAATAAAAGCTTTAGATTAGTTTTCCTTCTCTAAAATTTGTCATCCCTTCTCTCTCTCTCCCTCTCTGTTGCAAGGAACTCCTCCCAATTTTCTAACAGTTATAAAATAAATTAATATTCAAAACAAAAGAGGAAAAGATAAACCAAAATGCACAAGACAGGGCTTTTGTTTTAAAGGCATTCCAACATAAATGAAGTATAGATTTTACAAAGATATTTTTTAAATTGTTAAACTAATGACTTTTTAGTAGTGTTGAGCATTGTATTAGTAGAAGAATTACATCTTGATTAAATAAGTATCACAATAACTTTCATACATTCTAACCTAGAGAAAGACATGTACGCGATTCATCTCAAAAGATTGGTTAAACATGAAAAATAAAGTCTTGTGTGAAAAAAAAATAGCTTTTTATGGTTTGTGACAAGAACCTCACCAGTTATACAAAAAACAAAACAGGTTTAGGAGTAGGATTAAATTTTGCAGATGCAACAACGATCACTATTACTATATTAAAGGAATAAAAAAAGATTGAATTATTATATTACTATATGAGCATAACATGTTTACTACAAGACTGATATTTAAAAGATCAATGATTTAAAGAGAGAACTATTGAGGAGGTTTAACATGAAATATATTGTGGAAGTCAAAAAGTTTAACGAGATAAAAATAGATCGCAAAAATGGCACATATACGTTATGTTTTTCACAACCGCAGTATACTGAAAAGGTGTTATACATGTTTTATATGACAAATAAATTGTAATTATGTTGCTCACTAACCGCTTGATATTATTTAAAGAATATATGCCATAAACTGAAGAGTAAAAGAAACACAAGTCTAAATTATCATACGTCTCAAGCTTCTTTTGGGACGGCTTTCTTGTTGCTTCTTAAAGCAGCTTTTTAGCACACAAAAAAATTATGTACTAAAAAGCTTCTTTAAGAAGCAGCAAGAAAGCCGTTTGTGACAAGAACTTGCATTAGCGGAGAAGCAACACAGGGAAACAGAGAGGTTAGCTAGAAAGTGAAATGAATTTCAAACATTCTTCTCATAACTTTTCCTTCTACTACTGTTTACATATATAGAAGAATGGAATGGTCACGTGATCCGTTAGATGGATCTTTCTGGAAGACGGCTGGAGCCTGCCGCCGCTGGTTGTAAAGAGTAGTGGGTAGATGTGTTAGTGTATTCTAACTGCCCCCTCAAATTGATTGTCTCTGGCAAGGATAGTCAGTTTGGTGCGAAGTTCTTGGAACCTGGAGGTAGGTAGAGGCTTTGTCAGGAGATCAGCGTGTTGAGCAATGGAGTTGATGTGTAGTACTTTGATCTCCTTGTTGTTAATGTGGTGACTAATAAAATGATAGTCAATCTCAATATGTTTAGTGCGAGCATGGAATATGGGATTTTTAGCTAAGGCTATGGCTGAGGTATTGTCGCAGAATATTTTTGTGGGTTGAGTTTGGGATGCATCAAATTCTCGAAGAAGTCTCCTAAGCCAGAGAATGTCCGATGTTGCCGCTGCCAGCGCTCGATATTCAGCCTCGGTAGATGACTTGGCGACGGTGTTTTGCTTTTTTAATGTCCATGAAATCAGATTTGAGCCAAGAAAAGTGCAGAAGCCAGTTGTAGATTTCTGATCAGTGTTGTCGGAGGCCCAATCCACATCGACATAAGTTGTGAGATCCAGATTGGTATGCAACGGAGGGAGTCCGTATGTAATTGTGCCTTGAATGTAACTGAGGAGTCTCTTCAAGGCTTGAAAGTCGCCCGGTTGTGGGTCGTGCATATGCTGGCAGATTTGGTTGGTAGCGAATGCAACGTCCAGTCTTGTGATGGTTAAATATTGGAGAGAGCTTGCTAGCTGCCTGTAGAGAGTTGGGTCATGTGACGGTTGAGTTGAAGCTTTGTGGGTTTGCGGTTTGAGAGAAATAGGAGTAGGAGATGGTTTACAGTTGAGGAAACCACTAGCTTGCAAGATAGCTTGGGCATATTGTTGCTGGTCAAGGAAGTGACCAGATGGGACTGGGGTGATTCTAATGCCTAAGAACATTGAAACAGGGCCGGGTTCTTTGAGGGAGAAAGCCTTTTTAAGATTTGCAAGGAACTACTAGATGAATTGGTTATCGTTACCGGTGACAAGCATGTCGTCGACATATATGAGTATGTATATGCGAATTTGGTCAACATTGTAAAATAAAAGTGAGGGATCAGACTTAGTGAATTGAAACCCTGTTTCTTGAAGATGGAGGTAAGTTTGGGATACCACTGCCTTAGGGATTGCTTTAGGACGCAAATGGCGTTGCGAAGCTGATAGGAAATACTTGAGTCCGCAAGTAACCCTAAGGTAATACTTGAGTTCGCAAGCAATCCTAAGCCAATCGGAAGAGCAAACAGCAGGAAAACAGCAGAATTTCTGCTGTGGACAGCAGAAAACTGCACTCAAACTGAGAAAACAGTGGGAAAAACTGGAATAAAACCAAGCCAATACTTGTATTCCACTGGAAGAAGAATCAAAACAGCAAAGATACAATAGTTCTTCAATTCGAGAGGAAGAACAACTCTCCACAAGTCTCTTGCAAACCCTAGAGCCCAAGCACACAATGAGATCTCAAACTTTTCATTCAAATTCAAGATGAGGACCTAATTCCCCCCTTTCCCCCTCTTTAACTCTCATCCCCATACAAAATCCCTAAACAGCCCTTCTATTCAAATTCCCCCCCCCCCTTTCCATTCAAATTTTCCCTCCAACCCTTGAATTAACTCCATGTGGGGCCCGCCTAGAGTAAGTAAGGACCGGAGGGGCCCGCCTAACAGAAGCTTGCATACGTGATTGGGAAATTGCTGATCAATGAGCCCTTGTGGTTGCCTCATGTAAACTTCTTCGTCAAGATCTCCATGGAGGAGGGCATTGGAAACATCCAGCTGGGTGATTTGTCAGGCGCGCTGATTTGCAATGACAAATAGTATTCGTATGGTTGGCATTTCGGCTACGGGACTGAATGTCTCATGGTAGTTGATTCCAGGTTGCTGATCAAAGCCTTTGGCCACAAGCCGTGCTTTGTAGCGATCAATTTGCCCAGTGGAATCCAGTTTTGTTCGTTAAGTCCATTTGCACCCCAAAATAAGATGTTGTGATGTAGGGGGACAAGGTACCACGTGCCCTGTCGGTGAAGGGTTTAAATTTCTTCGGTCATGGCAGCACGCCAGTTGGGATTTTTGTTGGCTTGAGTGAACGAGGTTGGGGTTATAGGATTTGTTGTGGTAGCTAGCATGTCGAATATTAGTTTGGGTTTAACAATTTCGAATTTGAGGCGAGTTAGCATTGGGTGTTTGGTTGGAGGTGGAGAGATGAGAATGGTTGAGTTGGACGAGGAGGAGTTGAGATCAGTATGGGGAAGGTTTGGTTGAGATGTTGTGGCTGGAGGGATGGGAGGTATTTTTGGTGAGGTGGGCTCGATAAAGATGATTTGAGGATCTTGGTGTATTTGTGGAGCTGAAATGGCTGAGATGGGAAGGAGAGGGAGAGGCGAAGTGTAGTTGTTTGAGGGTGAAGGTGGTGGATTGATATTGGAAGATTGATAGGGGAATATATGTTCGTGGAATACAACATGTCCAGAGACATTGGTTTTGTTGGTGAGAGGGTCAAAGCAGTTATACCCTTTATGGGTAGGAAAGTATCCAATGAAGATACCTTCGAGAGATCGAGGAGACAATTTGTTAGGTGCTTGGTGTCGTAACCATGGGAAGCATTGGCAACCAAACACGCGGAGATGATTATAAGATGGCTGGGAGTGATAAAGCAATTGGAACGGAATTTGGAGATTGAGTGCTTTGGTTGGTAGCCTATTGATGAGATAATTAGCGGTGAGCAAGGCGTCTGCCCAGAAGGAATGGGGTAGATGAGCAGCTAGTATAAGTGTACGAGTTGCATCAAGTATGTGACAATGCTTTGGTTCAGTAAGGCCATTCTGTTCAGGGGTATGAGGGCAACAGAATTGTTGAAGGGTGCCGTTGGAGGAAAGATATGATTTGAATTGTGTGCTTGTGTACTCGCCGCCCCCGTTGGATCGTTATGTTTTTATTTTGGTTTGAAACTGATTTTGACTTAGACTTATGAATTGCTGGAAATTTAGAGAAGGTTTTTTCTTTTGAGTTCATTAAGGATAGCCAGCAAAATCTAGTATAATCATCGATGAAGATGACATAATAGCAACAACTAGTGAGTGATGAAATTGGTGCAGGGCCCCAAACATCTGTATGAACTAACATAAACGGAGCTGAAACATTGTGTGAACTATTTGGAAAAGATAGTTTATGGCTTTTAGCCATATTACAAAATTTGCAAACGAAAGAGATGGGGGACATACATATAGAGGAATCTAATTTAGCTAGTGTATGTAATATTAGTTGATGTGGATGGCCCAGCCGATCATGCCAAGCTTTGTTTGAGGTCAGATTGGACCGGAGAGCTTAAGAACGTTTGTTGGAGATGGCAGCTGATAGGGGGTAGAGACCATCTCTGCTCCTACCACGAAGGAGGATTTGGTTGTCCTGTAGGTCGAGGATTTGAAACCCAGACGAATCAAAAGAGATGAAACAATTATTATCGAATGTTAGTTTGTGAATGGAGAGTAAGTTGTGAGATAGGGCTGGAACATGAAGGAGGTTGCGTAGATACAACTTACGATTGGATTGAGGTAAGGGAAGGATGCCGTCTCCGGTATGCTGGATGGGAAGCGTGCTGCCATTCACAATAGAAATCGAGTCTGACCCTTGATAGGGAAGCGGTTGATGGAGATTGGTAGCATCTGCCTTGTGATGGGACGAAGCGCTTGTGTCTAGTACCCATTCTATCTGAGGGGCAGATGATGCGTGAGAGAGCATGGCTCGAGGCGGGGCGGGAACGTAGTTTAGATTGCATCGGTGCCAGCATTGCGCAGCAATGTGCCCGACAGATTTGGCAGATTTTTCTGGGCGGGTTTGATGGATATGCAGTTGAGCTGGTATTGCCCGTGGTTCAATTGCTGGATCCTCTGCCGCGACTTGGGCAAGGATTGAACGTAGAGTTTCCTCTGCCTCGATTGGAACGGTTATTAGTGTAGAAGGCAGCATTGTCTTTGGACAATGTGGAGTCCTTGAGGAGCTGATTTTGAATATTGATCTCCTCGCTGCACAGTAGGGAGTAGAGGACCTCAAGCCTTATGGTAGTTTGGCAGGTTCGAATGGAAGTACATAATGAGTTGTAGGCAGTCGGCAATCCGTTAAGGATATAGTGAATGATGCCCTCAGAGTTACTCGAGATCCTGCAGCGGCGATGTTGTCTACTAATCCTTTGATTTGGGCCAAGTATTGTTGCATTGAGCTGTCTCCCATTGTAACGTTATGTAGAACGTTCTTGAGTTAGATAACTCTCGAACGGTTGGTGGGTTGTTGCATGTTCTCAAGAGTTTTCCAGATCTCGTGAGCTGAGAATAAATTGAGGATGTATGAGTATTGAGGGAGAGACGGTGAAGAAGAGTGCAGGGATTAAATTTTACAATCAGAAATTACATTAATAATATTTGGACACTATGAAGTTGATACTATGCTTGTTAAGGCTATAATCAAATATTCTCTTAATATTTTAGAAATTTTATAGTAATCATATCTAGCAAAAATTTCTGTAAGAATGCTATACTTTTTCTATCATTCATTTTGTATTATTTCAATATTCATCTTCAATCTTATGTGAAGAGAAATTCGTGATTTACCCCTCTGTTAATGTTTAGTGAAATATCTTATCTTTGTGCAATCATGAACGTAGGTGGATCTTACCTTATCACATAAACTTTTCTCTTGTATTTGTGAACTTTAATGTGTTCATCTACAAGTCTTTATTTGATTTTTTTTCTGAGCAAACCTTTTAGCTTACAGCTTCTAAATTCAGCATTCATAATTCCTTCATAAACAGCTATTCTTGTAATGTGGGTTTGTTTAAAAATAATGAGAAATATTGCCTTTCTACTTTTTCTTTCCACTTTTTTGAAAACTTCCCTGTAGATATTACAGCCTCAATTGTGTGTAATTGTGCAGGTTGGTCATATTTCTTGAGTTTTGAGAATTGCCAGAAGATAGAATGATTTAACTGTTTTGCCTGCTGTGCATTATCAGAGCAACTTCTGAGGACACCAAAAGGTCTTTGAATTTATTCATGATGGAGAATGATTTTTTCAATGCCTCTTCATCAGCTGCAGATCATAGTTATATGGCGGCCATGGATGGATTTAGCTCACAAATGTTTTCAGGTTCTATGTTTCCGTCCGATGTACCAGATCATGGCAATTGCAGGCAGATTATGCATACGGATTCATTATATCTTACATACCAGGAAGAAGGCCCAAATAGTGAACTGTATGCTCCTAATATGTCTCATATTACAAATGCTTCATTCAATGCCTCAATTGGAAATACCAACTTAAGAGAGAACCTCATGGGAACTTCTTTGTCTGCTGCTTCGCTTGCTGATCTTCTGTCGACAACCACTAGTTTGCGCGATAATCATACGACTTCATCCTTCTCTTTAGAGGATATGAAGAAAGTCATACCCATTGAAAGCTGCATTTCTCTAAATTCATCCGCGAAGATCTCAGTAAGCTCTGACTTTGGGCCGCAGGATCACACCGTATTCTTAGCATCTCAAAAAGGTGGTGGTGATTCGAATGGACAACGGAATTACAATATGTTGAATTGTAAATTGTATGATGAGCTTTCCAGGAATCAGTTTCCTTCAACTCAAACATCTAGCACAGTTCACCCATCTTATCTTGTAGGAAGCTTAGAGCAAGGTTGGATTTCCAACAGATCTACTCTGAGCTTTGATCTTTCTCATGGAAATGAGCTATCACTGAGTCTTGGCTCCTCTCAGCCTTCTGTCTTCAGCTTGGCAAATGGTGCAGACCAGTGCTCTGAAGTAAGCTATTCTGGCATGACACAAGTTATGTCTAGAGTTGGTAGCTCAATGGATGTAAATAAGATGCATAATCTTCCTCGAGATTATCAGAACTCATTTACAAATAGAGAGAAGCTTTCCTTGTGCTGTGGATCATCTCATATGCCTGTTCACTTTTCTCAAATGCTATCAGGATCGAGATATCTACTTGTTATTCAAGAAATACTTTCTGAACTTGCCAGTTATGCCACTGAAGATGTGGAAGAGGTTGATGATTCACTTGGTGATAGTGTGGCTGAGGCAAAGAGGTCTTCTTCCAGCTGCTCCATTGTGAATGGATTTACAGCAACTGGCTCTAATGGCTTGCCATTTTGTTCAGGAGAAAATGAGCAGGAACAACAAACAGACTTCCAGCTGCAGGAGCAAAATAGTACAAGAAAATATGAACTGATAAATATGCTTCAGATGGTATGAGGTTTCCTGTTTTCCTTTATTTTCTCAAGCAATAACAAATAGTCTTTTTCACATAAGACATTTTCTCAAATAATATCTAGTAGTCCTTTTCACAATAGATTTTTATTTTTCCATCATCTCATTTCCCCTATCTTTCTCTTCACCAATTTAGCCATTTTTTGGCAAATCTAATTATTTAAAAACTAGATGTTATTATCAGACTTTTATTGAATTTGCTCGATCTGATTTTGTCTGACTGCATATGGTTGTTGAAATTTAGCCCTAATTTAAAATTATGTTGTGTGGATCAATGAAGTATATTATGTGTGTTCATTTGAAAGAAATTTAATAGCAATATATCATATGAGAATTATGATTATTGTGGATGTTAGAAAGAAACTCGTAACCTAATTGTTTGTGTGCTGGATATCCGTACAATGCTAAGACGAGGCAATAGAGTTAGATTTTCTCATCTTAGCCTTGTACGGATATCCAACACACAACACCAATATTAAAGTTCTTCCACAAAGGACACAAAAGAGAGATCAAGTACATAGATAACATCAACATCATCTTTGGTTCAACATGTTACTTGGTTTGGCTAGAATGAAACCTACACCCATTATTTGTATCTTATACAATACTTCTTTAGATCCCATGCCATGCAAATTGTACCAAACATCAAATTATGGAGTCATTTTTAATAATTCTCCTCCTTGATTCAATATTTTAGGGCAAAATATGGATCTCCTTTAAGACTTATTTAAACTGAGTATTTTAAACTCCCAAATTCATTGAGGGTTTAATCACCATTCAATCTCAATAAAGTCAGTTAATTCTTGAACTGAACATCTGCGAAAGACCTTTGAATCACTACTATTGCGTGCAAAAGGTATTCACTGCAATTGAAAGCGGACCTATCTTTGAATTCTTTAACATCCAAAGTGATTTTCCCCTTAAACTCTTAAAATTCCAAAGGAATGATCTATAGCACTATGACGAGTTGTGCAATATAAGATTGGTTCATTTAATTATCTCCTAAAGTCTTCCCATCAACCTATTCAAGTTCTGGTTCCACAACCTTCCTATCAGTGCTTAAAATCCAAGTACACCAGCTCTCAATAAAAAAAGGCCCAAAGGAACCCTCACAAATAGGCTTAATCTCATAGCTTTTACCTTTCAAGAACACCCCAATTGCCAGCTTAGAGATCTATCTTTTATAGCCACCTAGCACATTCTCGCAAATTTAGGTCGAACGCTTGAATCTTGAGAACTCCTATGAGTGATTCATGTGGTTGGCTCATAACCCAAAGAAGAATCATAAATGTTTTATTCCCCTTGCACACATAACAAGGGTGGTGACTTTTTTTGTTTGTTTATGAGGGTGGTAACTTAATCCTTTATCTCAAATGCTAGTAGTCTGATCTCATTAATTCTTATATTGAATATATCATGGTATATGGATTCTATGCAATACTTCTTTAGATTCGGTGCAATGCATGTCGCACCAAACAACAAAAATATTGAGTCAGTTTTAATGGAAAATATGTAATTATTTCAAAGGCTTAATTCAACCAAGATTAGGCGTAGCAACTTAAATTGAATCATAAATACATCATTCACAATTTTACGGGCCCAAATTAATAATTATCCTTGGTGCTAAAGCTTTCGTAATATTGGAGATAGAATTTAACTTTTCAGTTTTGTATGAATATACATCATACATAAATAATAGTCAAGAGATTGTGTTATGGGGTGACTGTAATTATGATATCGTAGTCGGATGATGGTGGTTGGAGGACCGTAGTTAAGAGATGATGGTCGAAGGGACATAATAGGACAATGACAATTTAACAATGGAGGTTGGGAAATGGCATTTCGACGATTGTGCTTAGGCGGCGGAGGTCCAATGATGGTATTTCAATGTCAGCAAAGGGGTAGTGGTTTGGTGGGAGCTTCAAGGATTCTTCAAGTCTGTGAGCTCTCTTGAATCTTAAGCCAATGATCCCCATCATGTAAGAAGCGGGGTCATATTTATAGATTTTAAGTGTGGATGCCCAATACATATATTCAAAATCCAAAACAATTCATCTTATTGATTTCCTTAATTATAGATTATTCTTTTAACATTTAAGTGTCTTAATAATTTTCAAATTAAGTGATCTAGAGCTCATTGGATTCGTCTTGTCAAGACGCTCGATTTGACTATAAGCATGCAATACCTGAAGATCTATTATTCCTCCAATTAACATCCCAAAGTTTTCAACTATGCTTTAAGTGTATTACTTGTTTATTTGGACTCAAATCAGATCATTTTTTGTGTATAGAAGTTCATCTCATTGACTTGTTCTATTTATCTACAAGTTTTCCCGGATTTGGAGTTCACATGCTCTTGAATTTTTGAAAGTTTTCAATTCAAATATATGTTGATAATCATGCATAATCAAGTTGATCTTTTACGACACATCAATCCTATCAATGACATGCAAGTAATTAAAACTTCTACAGTTTTTAGTCATGCTAAACCAGGCTAGGCATTGGAAGATCTGCATTCTCAATGTTTTCTAATGCCTTAGCAGGTACCTAGAGAGATTATATGCTCGAATGATTTGATTTGCTTTATCCACCCAGTAAAGTAGATGCAATCCAATAATTAAAACCTCAGATAAATATAATCAGCTTCTAGCCAAGTTATCATGTACAATTCTTCTCTTAATTTTTTGTTATACAGAAACTTTGTTCATTAAACTTACAGGTTGACCAGAGGTTCACTCAGTGTGTCGATCAGATTCAAAATGCTGTTTCAGCTTTCCATTCCGCAACAGCCACAGGGTGTCATCTGCCTGCCCAGTTTGCTCTCAGCACTATATCCAGCTTTTATAGAGCTATCAGGAAGAAAATTACTGGTCAGATTGCTTCATTCAGTCAAGAATCGAGCTTTGAATTCATGAAAGAGAAAGAGAGAAGCTTTGAAACTTCTTTCATCCAAAGACAGTGGGCTCTTCAGCAGCTAAAGAGGACTGATCAACCATCATGGAGACCACAGAGGGGTCTACCAGAAAAATCAGTCTCAGTTCTTCGCGCTTGGATGTTTCAGAACTTTTTGCATCCGTGAGTTGCCTCACAAAAATTCTTTAAATTTCATGATAATATTTTCTTTATATTTGTTTTAATATATGATATTTGTCAATAATTTTAGGTACCCTAAAGACAATGAAAAGCAATTGTTGGCACTTAAAAGTGGACTCACAAGGAGTCAGGTAAGCCAAGCCAAATATGGAGAATGTTCTTACTATTCTTTGGTTTAGTTTTTGTAAGTAAAATATTTGTGAGTATCAGCTAGTTTAGTTGCTGATAAAATTCTTAGAAGTTACCCACCGTTGCTTACCTTAGTTGGTGGGCGAGTACGGTTGAGAACCCTCCAACCCGTGCTAGAATCCCCTCGAGTGGCACCGCCTCTTAAGTGAGACTCAATCAAGTGCGGGCCAGGAGATTTCTGGGGTGGGTGCCTCTTCTAGGTCAGCTGAGGATTAGTCATGCCGTCAAGCGCCTTTTCTGGGGTGTGGCAGCGCGTGGATACTCCGTTCCAAAAAAAGTCTTAGAAGTTGTTGACAAGATCCTAACATCAAATCTCGATTACATCTGATTAAAATATGGTTTTTCTCACTAAATTAGACTTCATTGTTCACCATGTATCCATCTCTATCCTTTCTTTGTGGTTCCAGGTCTCAAACTGGTTTATAAATGCACGAGTTCGGCTCTGGAAACCCATGATAGAAGAAATGTATTCTGAAATCAACAGAAAGAACCGTGCTGAAGAAGGATCTAGCAGCCTACACAGAAACCATTGAAACAGATCAAGCCAAGGTAGTCTGCAACAATCTACCTTCTTCTTCCTAAGAACATTTTAGGAAATATTTTTCATTATTCCAAACTCTCTTTCTGGTGTTTAGATCATGAAATCAGCTGAAGAAGGCTTGCAAATTGTACTTCACTTGTTTTCCTCCATGTTAAATGTTTAAGGTTGAAGCTTCTAATTCCATTATATGTATTCAAAATGTAACCTTTGTTGTATATCTGTAAACTTGGCCAACTTTGTTATCTTTCTATTTTCATGTGTTCATGGAAAAGCAGATTAGAAAAGTTTCTACATGATTGGAAAAGTCTGAACTAGTCTTTTAGCAGCAAATGTAGCTCCTTTTGTTTTTTCTATTGATTCGCTTTCCGAGACCTTAGAACTTGTAATTTTGATGAATTTGTATAGTTTATTGCATCGTTGATCATCCCCAGAATCTGCTGTGTCGTTAGCTCTGGAATGCTCTCTTCCAGTTCAGATTTGGAGGTTAGTGTCGATTTGGATTAAAATAAAAGCTGGTTTATAAAATTCTTGAGGTAAATAGATAGAGATTGTATATTACAGCATGGGAAGCATTCTATGAGCAAATCAGTCGAATTCTCATTTGAATTTACTAAATAAAAATTATTTTTAATACTTTATAATTGAGTCTTTTTAAGGCTTATCTCTACTTTTATTTCCATAGGTTGAATCTAATATATTTGCTCTCCTAATAAGATCGTAAGAAGGTCGGGATTTTATGTGACGAAACCGGCCTTTTTTACACTTCTTAAAGTGACTTTTTAGTACAAAAAAATTGATTTTTTACAAGAAAGCCGCTTTGAGAAGTGGTAAGAAAGCCATCATAAACGAAGCCTAAATCATCCGAGGTGATTCTAATCTTATTAACTATTTCATGTTTGTCTCTTAAATGTAAAGCCGCTCATTTGAGGGATACTTTTCTATCATGTAAAAGGCTTGATGCATTTCTTCATTTCAACCCGCCAACATGAATTCTGTTAATAATAGATCTAAGAAATTTAAAATGTGCACTATTTTTAATGATTTGATCTGTAATAATACACCAATATATTTATTGATGTAGCGGCACCCTGGAGAAGAACATGAAAGGGAAAAACCAATGTAACAGTAACAGGGGAAAAGGAATTATCTTCTAATTGTTCTCTGTCTCATTCCTTCACTATAGCGGGTTATATACGCCAATGATACTTGGCTACATGAGCTACTAACTAAAGTGGAGCAACACAAAAAGAGATGCAGTACTATGTGTAACTGAAAAAGGTGAATAACAGAAATTATCAACTAGTGGTAGTAGTGGCTCATGGGGTAGACAGTTAGCATCCACATGGCCGGGCATAAGGAGACGACCACGTCAATCCTCCCCCCTTCGGAGAAGCTCGACTGCGACGAGATAGCTATAGGCTGATCACCATCTGGTGGATGATAATTGTAGATGTCGGCGACATTGAATGTGGAAGATGTCTGAATGTCTTGCGGGAGGTCAATTACATATGCGTTGTCATTAATTTTGTGCTTGATTGGAAAAGGGCCGATTTTCCTGGGACTGAGTTTTGAATATGTTCCTTGCGGATACCGTTCTCGACACATTCGTAGCATCACTAGATCACCCACAGTAAATGTCTTCCTTCGCCAGTGGAGATCGGCGGCTTGTTTGTACTTAACAGTTGACTCCTAAAGTTTTTTCTTGACTGTCTGTATAGTCTCTTGAGCTTGGGTGATTGTCTTCTAGACTGAGGTGCGAGTGTCTTTTGGCAAGATAGTGAGATCTACCAATTGATTGGGTTGTTTAGTATAAACTATTTGAAAGGGGCTGTAACTCGTAGATTGATTAAACATAGAGTTGTAAGCAAACTCGGCATGACTAAGGAGCACTTCCCATCTCTTAGGATTATCTTGCACAAGACAACGCAACATATTGCCAAGAGTCCGGTTAACAACTTCGGTTTGGCCATCTGTTTGGGGGTGATACGCCGAGCTTAGCTTGATGTCGGTTTGCAACCTTTTCCATAGCTCCCTCCAGAAGTGGCTGACAAATTTGACGTCACGATCCGAAGTCAAACTGTGAGGCAACCCATGTAGCCGGTTGATCTCTTTAAAGAAGAGTTGGGCGATGTTAATGGCGTCGAACGTCTTCTTGCACAGGATGAAAATGCGCCATCTTAGAAAACCGGTCGACGACCACCATGATGGAATCAGCTCCTTTCTTCGTGCGTGGTAGTCCCAACACAAAATCGAGTGATAAATCTTCCCAGATAGAATCGGGTATTGGAAGTGGTAGGTATAAGCCAGTATTTTGGGCGTTACCTTTATAGCTTTGGCAAACATATCACTTCTCCACAAATCTGGCCACGTCTTGACGCAAGTGTGGCCAGTGGAACCGGGATTGTAGCAATTCATAGGTTTTGTCTCTACCAGTGTGAGATGATAACCCCCGCAGTGGAGTTCTTTAATCAATTGCGGTCTCCAGGATGACTATGGGATGCAAAGGCTGTTGCCTTTGAACAAGAATCCATTGTAGATGGTATAATCATGCTGCGGTTGTCCCGATTGGCAAACAGGCCAAACTGAAGCAAAGTCTTTATCCTCGGCATACAACTCCTGCAACTACTGAAAATTAGTGATCTCCGTTTAAAGGTGTATTAATAATGCTGATCGGCGGCTCAGAGCGTCAGCTACCCGATTCGTTCGTCCCATCTTGTGCTTGATCACAAAACTGAACCGTTGGAAGAAAATGATCCAACGAGCGTGCATTCTATTGATGTTCTTTTGACTGTTGAGGTACTGCAAGGCCTGGTTGTCACTGCAAAGAACAAAATTCCGGTGGAGTAAGTAATGTTCCCATTGCTTGAGCGCCCTTACTACGGCATACAATTCCTGCTCATAGGCAGACCACCGCTGGTGAGTAGAACTGAGCTTCTCGCTGAAGTATTCAACAGGCTTCCCCTCTTGGGAAAGAACAGCTTCAATGCCAACGACTAAAGCATCGGTATCCACTTGGAACGGTATGTCGAAGTAAGGGAAAGCTAAGATCGGAGCTGAACTGAGAGTTTTCTTTATTTGCTCAAAACTCCTTTGTTGTACAAGTGTCCACGAAAATGGTGTAGTTTTTTAAAAAAAATTGTGATTGGAGCCATAATGTCATTGAAATTCTTAATGAACCTCTTGTAATAGTTGGCCAGGCCGTGGAAGCTCCTTACATCAGTCAAAGATCGGGGAACAGGCCAATCCCGAATGGCTGAAACTTTCTGGGGTGCCGTTTGGATGCCTTCAGGAGTTAATATGAAACCCAGGAAGTTGATGTTGGTGACGCCTAGCTCACATTTCGGTAGATTTAGAAACAGTTGATTGCTGCGGAGCGTCTCCAAAATGGACCTCAAATGATTCAAGTGATCTAATAAGGTAGAACTAAACACCAAAATGTCGTCAAAGTATACTATACAACATTTATCTAAATAAGGCTTAAGAATGTCATGCATAAGGCGCATAAATGTAGAGGGGGCATTGCAAAGCCCAAAAGGCATAACCTTCCATTCGAAGAGGCCATCTACCGTTTTAAAAGCCGTCTTCCATTCATCCCCCGGTCGGATACGAATTTGGTGGTAGCCGCTCCTCAAGTCCAGCTTGGAGAAGATAGCCGAGCCTGCGAGCTTATCTAGAAGATCGTTGATTCGTGGAATTGGGAACCTGTATTTGACGGTGATGCGATTAATGGCCCTGCTCTCTTACACATGTGCCACTGCCCATCTTTTTTTGGAACAATCAATATCGGGACGGCGCAAGGACTCAAGCTGGGTTGGATGAAGTGTTTATGCAGTAGCTCTTGTACTTTTTCCCTCAAGATAGCGTGTTCCCGTGGACTCATGCGATAATGTGGAAGATTGGGCAGAATAGCACCTGATATGAACTCAATTTGGTGCTGGAGAGTTCACATATGAGGTAATGTCGGGGGCAATTCAGGGATGGTTATGTCCCCATAATCCTCAATAAGACTCTGGACCTCTGGATACTGAGATTGAGCAGGCGGTCCTGGTATATCATTAGCAATCAAGGCTAATACCGTAGGATTCATATCCTTGAACTGGAGAAGTGCTTGCCCGGAAATAAGGCGGGCCACCGTGAAATTACTGGCTTCTGCTTTGCCTTGGTATAGCGAGGTTGGGAGCAGCTTGATCTTTTTGCCCTTCCACTCAATGGTGTAGGAATTATCTCGACCGTCATGAATTGCTCCGCTATCGAATTGCCAATGCCTACCAAGGATCAAGTGGCACACGTCCATCTCTATAACGTCACATGTTAATTGGCACAAATAACTCTTGCCAATTGTAAATGTGATTTTGCAAAATTCAGAAAATAGTGAAGTCTACACCTTCTTTACCCAACTAATTTTGAATGGGTTCGGATTCTTGGAGGTTTTTATCTACAAGGCTTGAACGACGGCCTTCGAGAGGATATTCTCGGTACAGCCACTATCAATCACTACATCGCACACCTTGACATTGATCGTGCATTTGGTGTGGAGCAAATTGTTCCTTTGAGTCTCATTCAGCTTGCGTGGGGCTAACAGTATCTTTTCCAGCACGCCCAGGATAGGCTCCCCCTCATCAGCTACCACTTCCTCAATGGAATCTTCCTGTTCTTCCCCCACTCCGAATTGACCCGTCTCTTCTTCCCCCTCCATGAACTGCGCTTGATGCCTAGTTGGGCATTCATTGGACTTATTGCCCGGTTGCAGACATCTGAAACACTTGATGGCGGCAGGTTTAGCATACGGGTTGTCCCGACCTTGAGCTCTAGGCCTAGCTAACGGCTTAGCTTCTGCCGTAGGAGTGCTCACTTGAGCAGGAGAATTCAGAGAACCCTTCGTCTGTGGGACAGCCAATTTGGATGAGGTCGCATAACCTTTTTTCAGCGAACGTCTGGTAATTGACTGACGGTATGGTCTTTGAAGTTGTGCTTCCGCTTTGAGGGCAAAATTTACGGCCTGAGATACATACCAAACTGAATTAAGTTATAATTTATCTTGGAGTGACTCCTTCAACCCGCCAATGTAGCGAGCTACCATCTGATTCTCAGATTCAGCAAGATTGTTGCAGGCGCTAAGCCTGTAAAATTCTTCAGTGTATTCACTAACAGATCGCTGCCCCTGTCTACACTGCTGGTATTGAAGATATAGCAGTTGTTTGAAATCCGTAGGTAAGAATTGTCGTCGCAGCAACTGCTTCATGTGGTGCCAATTACGGATCAGACCTCACCCCTCTCTCTGTCTAGTTTGACATAGCTGCATCCTCCAGGCGTTGGCTCCTCCTTTGAGCCGACAAGCAACATATTTCACTTGCTTATCTTGATTAACCTCCATGTAATCAAAGAAATTGTCTAACGCTCCTTCCCATTCCAAATAATCTTCAATATGGAGTCTACCGTCAAAAGTAGGAATGTCCAATTTCAGTCGGAAACCTTCATGTTCCCTCCGATGCGGCTGGCCGCGCCTGGTTCGATTGGGTATTGGACGATGGCCGTCTACATCAGAATCGAAATATTCTTGTTCGGGACGGTCATCGCCGTCCAAATCTGAGAACTCTGGAAAAGAGCTGGTGCCTGTCTGGGCATCGGATTAATGAGTCCTGGAGCTCTGTGGCCTGGTATGGCTGCTGGAACCACAGGACGAACTACTGGAATGGAAGCCGTCCTTATTTGCCGCAACTCATCTCGCATTTCACCTGCAAAACGAGTGAAAACATTCGTAAGCTCATCCAATTGCTTGGAGGTATTCTGTTGCGTCTCCCATAACGCCTCCAAACTACGATCGTCGTCGAGTCTGGGCTGGCTACTTCCTTCGGCCATGCTATTGGAGCCTCGCTCTGATACCAGAACTGATGCAGCGGCACCCTGGAGAAGAAGAATCTGCAAGGGAAAAACCAATGTAGCAGTAACAGGGGAAAAGGAATTATCTTCTAATTGTTCTGTCTCATTCCTTCATTATAGCGGGATGGATATATATGCCAATGATACTTGGCTACAGGAGCTACTAACTAAATTGGGGCAACACAAAAAGAGGTGCGGTTCTATGTGTAACTGAAAAAGGTAAATAACAGAAATTATCAACTAGTGGTAGTAGTGGCTCCTGGGGTAGACAGTTAGCATCCACATGGCCGGGCATAAGGAGACGACCACGTCAATCCTCCCCCCTTCGGAGAAGCTCGACTCCGACAAGATAGCTATAGGCCGAACCTTGGACCTCTTAGTTGGAAGCCTAAGCTCTCAACCAATAGGCCAAGGGGAGTTGTGTCCTGGGGTAGACAGTTAGCATCCACATGGCCCGGAAAAAGGAGACGACCACGTCATTTATTAATTTATAATAATAGTTTGATTTTTTTCTTAAATGAAATTTGGATTGTTTGCCATTATAAGTTCCCAACAATAAATATTTTAATGTGCTTTGATTTAAATTATTGTCTATTTGGGAACTAAATTAGAACATGCACCTAAGTAGTGCAATAACAGATCTTGGCACGATTATTGATGCTGACCAGTTGCAGCCATTAAAATATATTTAGGCGTGAAATAAGAGGAGAATATAATTTAGCTTCAAAATTTGATGAGAAAATTTGTACTTAAATTTTATTTAAATTTTAATATCTCTAAGGCCTATTTCTCACACACACACACACATATATATATATATATATATATCTCTAGCTATTTTAATGTGCCCACTATTTTTTTACTGCACACACTCACAGAATCGAACGTTGTTCTTGATACGTCATGTAAAAATTAACTTGATCGGGCACGAATCTCGAGGCAAAAATCAAGTTAGAAACTTCAAAAATTAAATCCGGGAACACCTGAACTCCAATTTTAGCGAGCTTACAGTCAAACTGAGCGTCTCGGAAATACAAATCCAACGACACCAAATTCGACACAATACGAGTCCAAATGGGTCCAAATCATGGATCCGAAGCGCTGTCGGAAGGTTCAAACCACTATTTGAGTTACCAAACGAACTCCGATTTTGACGAGCTTATACTCGAATCGAAGGGCTCGACGAGACAAATCCAACGAGCCCAAGATCATAGAATTCCGACATCACTAAGGCCTTCAAATGTCCAATGAACGGTGCATGATCGTAGGATTCAATATCGGCCGTCCATTGGACCACTCCCTATTCGCCCCTGATCTCATGCCTATTTACGGGCCATGCCACTCCAGAAAATCTATAAATAGAGCCCTCATTTCTCATAAGAGGGGGATCCAAGCAAGAGAAGGAAGAGGAGGAAGAAGCTCCTCCTCGACCACCGCCGGAACCTCGCCGGACCACCGCCGAAGCCTCGCCGGACCACCGCTGAAGCCTCGCCGGACCACCGCCGGAGCCTCGCCGGACCACCGCCGCAGTTTCTCCGCACCACCATCTCAAGGCCCGACGTTTAGGCCCGATGTTCAGGCCCGACGTTCTACT